GCTTCTCTCTCCACCTAGTCCTGCTTCCCTCACTGTTTTCCTGGTGTGAGACTCTCCTCAGCAAACCCCGCAGACACAAATCTCAGTCTCAGAATCTGTTCTCCAGGGAACGTGATCTAGGCCAGCCGACATCCTACTCACCCATACTGTGCTTTGAGGTAATACCCTCTAAAACAAGTTCAAACCGTTTTATAAAATCCCACATTCATCCAAATCTTAGCATACCTGATGGCCACATTTAAGACACAGCCAAACTGAAGGGTTTTCTTCCGTTTCTTCTTCAGATTTATCTTTTACTTTATTGTCTGTCTTACAATCTTGACAAATATTCCATTCCACGTTCACTAAAGCCTTTTTCAAATTACCTTGTTCCAATCCTTTTCTAATGTGTCTGCACATAGGTTCTATTAAAACAAATAAAGGAATACAGAGGTAAAATACAGCTTTCCTTAGTTAATCTCAAAATTACCTTTGATTTGAACTTCAAATATGAATTTACTCTATAAACAAATTGTTAAATAATCTGATAGTTGAATATTATGAGATTATGTGATAAAGAGATTTTATAAAAATTTTGAAATTTTGCTTTTTTGAAGCTACCACCCTAAATTCACCTCAATTTAAATTAAGGCTGTTTATAATATTTATAATTCTCTTTATTTTAATAGGTTTGTAGAGAAGTTCCTTCATCCAGTCAACAACAGAGCGGTCACAGGCCTGGCACTATGGTAGATACCAGGGAACCAAAACCTGACTCATTCACAGCTCTTCTCTTGGAGTAGCTCACATTCTGGCAGGAGAGGCAATTAAATAAATACATAACAATTTCTAAAACTTGCTATAGCAGCACCAGAAGAGAAGGCTAAAGTCAACAAAAGTTTCCCAGGGGAGGCAACGTCTGTAAAGACTTAGAAGATATTAACACTGATAAAAATTTCTGATCCTGATTAAGCACTTACTATGAGCCTGACACTGTGCTAAATGTTTTGCATACATTAGTTCATTCAGTCCTTACAACCACCCTGGCAGGAAGACACTACTATCCCCAGTGACATGAGTAAACTAAAATTTAGTGCCTAAGGTCACACAACTTCTTAGTGGCTATGCCAGAATTTGGACTCAAGTCTTTTTGACTTTGAAGCTCACACTTAAACTTTGCCCTCAGGGAGGAAAGAACAATCTGAAAGGGTCACATCCCATGAACAAAGAAATGGAGGTATAAAACGTAAAAGTGCATGCTATCTGCTCAGAACGGCAGTCACATGTGTATAAACGGGCAGCCGGACCCGAGAGAACACGCTGTTGGGAGCAGATCAGTAAACGGCTTTGCAAGCCACTCTAGATGTCAACTGTTGCAGGGTCCCTGGAGGTTTAGAAACTACTCCAGTGGCACAACTAGCTTTATGTCCAACGAATTTGCACCAAGAGAATACAAATGTAACTGAGATCATGTGAAAAATCACCAAATCCCAGTAAGCAAAGAAACATAAACTAACAAAGGAAGATACCCTTTTTCAACTAGCAAAATAGCAAAAATTTTTACAAATGATACTAACCAGTGTTGAGAAAGGTTCGGGGAAATGGGCACTTTATTATGCTTCTAGGGGGCTGTAAATTAGTAAAACATTTCTGAAGGGCAATTTGGCAATAGAACCAAAAGAGCCCTGAAATACCGTTTAATTTATACCATTTAATTTAATAATATACCATTTAATTCAGTGATTCTAATTCTAGGATCTGTACTAAGAAGATAAGCGGACGGGCACAGAGATTTAGCTACAAAAATGTTTACTATCTCTCCATTCCTAACACTGAAAAGCTAAAGACTATCTAAATAAATTATGATCCATGGTCGTCTATGTCAATGAAATATCATGCCATTAAAAATGCTGAAAAGACTTAAATGACATGTAGCTCTAAACACTAAGTTAAAACGCAAATTACATAATAATAATGTACACCTTAAGCCCACTTTTACATAGTAAAATGTGTGTCCATTTAGGGATATAAACATTACTTTAAAGATTCAATTGGTGAAATATACCTAAAGATTCAGAAGAATCATCAGTTGGAACAGTTTTTCCCTTTGTCCGTTTCTTTCCCATGTTGGCACTTTATGGATTACTTACGAAGACAAAATAACAATCTATAAAACAAGATAAAGTTAGCTTGACAAAAAAAAAAGTATGTTTTATATTTCTCTAGTAGATAGTAATATAACTAAGCCACATCTATTTTGCATGTCTATCACACTTCATAATTTACAAAGACCATTCACATATATCATCTAGTTTTCAATAAGAACCCTGAAGTAGCGACGATAGTATTACCCTTGTTTTCCATAGCTTAGGAAACTGATTCTTAGTAAGGTTAAGAGGTTTTCAATAAAAGTAAAGGTCAGGAGAGAACCTACATCTTCTTACGCAGTTTTGGAAAAGTCTCAGCACTTCACACTATTAGGAATTCAACTTCTCACTACATAAGTGTGGAATAGTGGTTGTCCTTTGAAACTTAAGATAATTTCCTTTCCTTCTAAGCTATCTTTCTTAGGTCTGCAGTCTATGCAAATTAAATTGATAATTTCTCTAAGAAAAACTAAAAATAATTCTGAAAACAACCTCCTAAAGGGAGTTAGAAAATTTACAAAGTAATTTCAAAGCCAGATATAAAATGTGATACACTGTTCTGCATTTTCCACACTAGGATCTCCGATGGATATCACCTAACTGAGAATTGATTACAACTGCACTCTCAGCTATTTACATTATTACAGTATTGCCACAATCAGTTTGGAAGACTATGACAAATCTAGCTGCACACCACATCTTCACCTCTTTAGTCAACAATTCAAAACTAGAAAACATGAAAAGTGCTGAAAGCAATAGAGGTCTACTTAACTCTAAATATAGTGATTTTGAAAAACTATATTCAAAACTTGTTTTTTACATACATTAGAATAACTTAGTGTCAAAATCACTTCAACAACCATAAAAGTGATTTTACCTGGTATGCTTATTAAAATTCTGATTACATACTCAGAAAGTAGGACCTGGGACGTTCATGTTGAAAACACTTTCCAATTAATTCTGCTACTTGGCTGTCATCCTGCCCTGCCTTAGAGCCCTAGAAGTATTCCTCTTTTAGCTCTTAATGGGTTCATGTAATTAAAGGTAATTCAGAAAGGTTTGTCTGAAAAATGAGTGCTACATCAAGTAATCGTTAACCTTTCCAAAGATTATTTAAAATGTAACAAGCTCCCATGTTTACAAAATAAATGAATTAACAAATAACAAAAGAACACAAAGTATATGAGTACATGTAAAATGAGGATATATTTTATGAACTTTTTCCCACCCTAAAATAACACTTAACATAATTTATCTTATCTAGATCGTAGATTTTAGAAAAAAAATAGCAGCCAAATTCTTGCCTCCAATCCAACTCCCTCTAATTTGTGCTGCATTCTGGTACCACATATATCTTCCAATAATGCCATTTTCATCACATCATTCTCTTGACGGAAGGCATTTAACAGTTTTCCGGTCCACACTCCTGAGATCTCCTTTATAAATTGTCTCCAATGCTCTGGTAATCCTGACTCTCATTACTTCTCAACAAAGAACCTCATTACTTCCCAACAAAGAACTCAATTTTAATTATATGGTGCTTTTGCTCTTCAAAGCCCTTTCATAAACATTTGATTTTCACAACAACTCTTTAAATGGAGAATTTCCCTAAAGGAGGAAACTCAGAAACAAAATGAGGAAAGACGACGGGGGTGGCAGAGATGGAACTAAAATGCAGATCTTTTGGTTCCAAGACTACCACTCTCCGTTCCAATCAAGCCAGTCTCTCCGGGACCCTCTACTCCAAAACACCTTGGCACACCTCTATACCTCTGATCTCTAGCGGGGACATTCTATCTACCCAAATCTTACCAATCCTCCAAGATATCCACTTCAATGAGGCCTTAGGCAAACATTCTACTCTAAATAAATCTCTCAACTGAACTTTCGCAGTGTTTATTGTGTACACGATTCATCTTGTCCTCTAATCAGATACAACAGTGGGCTGCTTCTTAAATCTTTAACCTGGACATATGTCATTTCTCTATCTGGAATCTAAAGTTCTAGGAAAAAGAAATGGTTTCAGGCATTACTTTTCAACTGCCTATAGCACCTTGCATAGTGTTACATAGCAGATTACACAGTAGGTTCTCAAGAAATACCTTTTGCATTGAAATAGAAAAAGAGAATAGTACCTGAGGCATAAAGGATGATTATAAGGTGCAAAGGTAGGTACATAAGACTTAAGCAAACAAGCTCCGGTGAAAAAGACAAAGACAAAGAATGAAGAAGTCTGCAGTCGTGAAGACAGACTAGCAAATCTGGTTTGAGGACTGCAGAAGCCCAGACTCCAAAGGAAAACTGGAAAGACGAATTGCAATTGCTGCAGGCAGAGGACAGGAGGGAGTCACTTCAATGATGTGGAAAGAGCTCCAATAAATTTTTGACAACTGTAAAGGGCATCTAATGAGTCGTGAGAACAGAGTACTGCGAGTACCATCAGCTATAAAACATCAATAAATCTATTACGTCTTTCAGGCGAGCCTTCAGAGAAGAATTAGCTTCTTAGCAAATTACTCCTTGCAGGACTCCACAGAGAATTTGAATCAAAGCTCATCTTGCCGGCTCTCATATTAATCCAGTTCCCATCCCTCTCTGCCCTCCCAGTCTTCCCATGCCTGCTCGGGTCCATTAAAAAAGCAAGCGCTTGGCAAACTTTTGTCAGCAAGTCTTCAATATGGCTTTCAAGTTTTGCGTACATCTGTCCTACCCCAGGAGAACCGAACTGGTTAGATGACAGAGCTTGCTTTTCCTACCAATCACACCATACGGATGCAACAGCAAACCCAACCGCAACCTGCGGGATACCCAAGGCCGCGCGGCGCCCGCCACACCTCCCCTTCCCTTCCAACTGCTCCGCACCCACGGGGGAACCGCGGCGTCCACGGCGTCGAGAAGGGCGCCAGCACCGACAACTCATTGGCCAGCTCCTGGAACTGACAGGACAGGAAGCCAATGAGAACGCGGTACCGGGCCGAGGCCGCGTAACGTGCTTAAGGAAGAAGAGCCTTGAGCAGAGGACCAACTCGGAGCAGAGGATTCGGGCTCTCGGAGCGCAGGTAATCAGGCGAGCGGTGACCGTGAGTCAGAGTCAGTGGGACCAGAACTCACCCACAACGACAGCGCCCATAACTGCATCCCCTATTGGGCCTTTCGGCTGGGCAGTCAGCTCCGTCTTCCTCCCGGTGACGAAAAGAGAGCGACAGAGCCGAAGCCAGAGTGACCCCTAGAAAGCAACAACTTCCGGTACGCGGCATTATGGGAAGTGGCGTTGGCCCCTAGGGTCCCCGGGCGCTGACGCTAGTTAATCGGCGCCTGCGCGCGGCTGGCACCGGAAGTTCAGAGCCTACAGCGTCGGAATCTGCCTGTCAATGAGTTTTCCCTGTTTGGATGTAATATGGAGTTATTTAAACGCCACTAAAATACGGGTACCTGCTGCTGGTCAGAGGTTCGGAGTCTACCTTACTCAAACACAATACATCAGAAGGCGGCTAAGACGGGAACATTTAAATTTCACGCGGTTTCCCTAAAGTTGATTCTGTCCAGTCAACTTTTAAAGTTAAGTACGTTGTCTTGAACTAACCTTGCCGACGAAGGGTAAAATTTTCAAACCTTTATTTTTTTATTGGTGCAATATACGTAAGTGCCAAGCCCTCTGCGAAGAGAATTAAACAAACATAAACCTCGCCGCCCGGGAGTTTAGTTATACAGAAGACATAATAATCGATGGGGGAAAAAGATGCAGGTGCCAAGAGAAAAATAGAGAAGGGATATAAACAAGTAATTCACGATAAAAGAACAATTGGTCATAAAAGATATGAAGAAACGTTCATCCTTATTAGTAATCGAATAAAAGTGGGATAAGAAAGTGGCATCCTAGCCTGTCCAGTTAGCCAAAGTAACGATGGTTAAACTTGGGGGGGAAACTGGCTCGCTGGCTCTTTACTGCTGATCTAATAATTTTTTAAGCTCTCATCACTCAGCACGCAGGCATTATTTTTCTATGCTAAAACACATTCTTGGGGCCCTTGCACCACCTGCTTCCTCTGCATGGAATACTGTTCCCCTTGATCTTCCGTCGTTGGTATCTTACTATAATTGTATTCACACTTTAAAAGTCATTTTTCACAGAGAAATTGAGCAACCTTAGGTAACAGCCACCCGATCACTCACAGCAACTTATTTTACTTCTCTGTCCAGCAGTTATCACTATCTGGTATTCTTCTTTCATATTTACCTATATATTTATCTCTGAATTTTGCTATATACTTGAAATTTTTCATAAAAATTGAAGAAAAAAGTAGATTATTTAATGACATTGAAAAAAGCTCACAAAACACCAAGTAGAGGATGCAGCTATGAAGACCTATTTACTAACCTTACTTTAGTTAAAAAAAAAAAAAAGTTGTGGAAGTTGGCAACAATACCTGATACCAATGAACATCAGTGTTTACAAAAAATCTTGTGAGATTTCTAAAATGAATATGTTACAAAGAAAAAAGTGCATTGCGTATATCTAGATTGAGAAGGAAAACACTGCAATAAGTCTCGTGTTGGAGTCGCCTTCAAATTGTCCTTTTATTAGTCGGGATAAATTTCTGTGCGTGCACAGGGTCCTACCTAAGGTCACCACGGCCACCAACCACGCTGACCTCTCCCTAATGCCTTGCTACCCAGTGTGGTTCAGGGACCAGCAGGATCGCTACTGCGGGCGAAGATCTTAGGAATGCAGAATCGGGGTCCCCACCGCCACCTACCCAATCCCGATCTGCATTATACCAAGATTCCCGAACGATTCCTCCGCAAGTTCGAATCTGACGAGCGTCACTTTAACGGCCCATTCCTTGACCGAGGAAACTGTGCCGGCTGTCCTTCTCCCTCACAGCGGCAGCAGCCAGGAATGCCACTGGGGTAGAATAAAACCTCTGCGAGTGAGAACTTAGTGGGGCCGGGGAACTCCAGTCGTCCGATGCGTCCCACTACGAAGAGGTCGCCGCCTCTCGGGCTTCCGGGACGCGCGGCCCCGCGAGCGCGCCTGCGCACTCCCGGGAGGCGCGCGCTCAGTTCCACGGGGCCGCCCTGCCGGAGTGGTGTGTAGGCGTCAGGTTGCCTGGTCCTAGAGTCTGAGGCTCCTTCCGGATGAGAACTGAGCTGTCAGTGCTGCCTGAATCCCGGGGTGACAGCACCGAGGGGGTCCGTGGGTCCAGGTGAGTCGCTGTGCACTGCTGCCCAGCTGTACTGGGGGTCTCTCCAGCGGCAGCGGCCGGCTCCACATTCGGGCACCGCCTCCCCACGCGCTGCCCCCCGCTCATTGGTTAGAGCCTGCGTCGGCTTTCCTGGTCCCGCCCACAGCCAGGGAATTACGCGCCCCGCCCCCAACCCAGGTCGAGACAATTGTTGGGGGCGACTGCGAGTGCGCGCGGGGCTTGTGTCGTGCGCCCAGGCGCCTTTCTGAGTGTCAGAACTTGGGCAGCCCAGACAGGCTCGGCTCTTTAAAAAATAAAATCTGCAAAGAAAAAGAATAATAAACCACTCAGGTTTCGAAACGTGTGCCTCTTAATAAGTCCAACTCCTCCAGCGGCGTTCCATATCAGTCAGGATAAAATCCAAAAGTCCTGGCCGTGGCCTGTGAGTCCCATCATAAACGGCCCCACTTTCCTCTCTAACCTCGTCTCCTAAAACCCTGCCGCGGGCTCGCTCTGCTCCAGCCATCTGGTCTGGCACCCTCCTGCCCCAAGGCCTTCGAACTTGCAGTTCCTTTTGCCTGGAAAACTCTTTGCCAGAGAAGCACATGGCTTCCTTCTTCAGAGCCTTCAAGTCTCTTTCCTACAGTCACTTTAGCAGAGAGGCCGTCCGTGCGTAAAATGGACCCCTCCCCCGCCCCAACTTGCTTCTTGTCTTCAGTCTTCTTTGTAACAGTTATCCCTGCACATAGATATTTGGTTTTTGTTCTCGTGGTCTCCTCCCACTAGATTAAATCTCTTTAAAGGCAGAGATTTTTTGTTACTTTTGTTCATTGTTATAGTCGTAGTTCCAAGGACAATGCTTCACATGCAATAGGTGCTCAAGAAACAAATTCGTTGAATTTGTTGAGTGAATGACCAATAATAATAACAAGCGCTTTTATAGCACTGATTCTGTTGCTAGGCACTGTTTTAAGCACTTTCCACACATCCTCATTTAATCCTCATGGCAACCCTGTCGTTCCCATTTTGGAGATGGGGAGACTGAAGCACAGAGAAATTAAGCCACCTGTGTAAATTCACGCTGTTCCTAAGTGACAGCTTGGCAGTCTGGTAACAGAGTACATGCGTTAACCACTACAATAAAAAAGCAAAGTAAATTCATTTCGTCTAATAACCATCTAACGAGTTGTTTCCTAGATTCAATTCCAAATCAGACTAGGAAAGATATTTATGGAATTCCAATAAGTCCAGGAATTTTAAATATTCATGAAGATGTTTTTAATAACAGAGCAAATGCTTACGTTAGAATGTCAAGTGAAAAGAGCGGGATATAAAATTATATGAAGTAAAGAAAACGCTGTGTCTAAAGGAGGGAAGAATGTTTGCAGCTCTAACAGAAATTTGAAAAGGACTCAGACTGAAGATGGTAGGTAGCCTTGGTAATATTTACTTAAGTTGTGGCAGCTGGAGGACAAAGCAGGGATTCCTGTTCTGTGGAGAGGAGAGCTAATATCATTAGATCTGGAAAAGAATGTTCTGGGGTCAGATAAGTTTGGGAGAGTTAGATACTAAACCCTCCTCTTAGAAATTCACAGTGCCTATTGACAATAAAGACTTAGAAGTCACACAACAAGCGTGCCTGTAGAGTTTATTATTGTTGAAATGGGGTTACTTTTGTCTAGGATAAATACTAAACCAGTCAGGACAATAGGATGACCCACAGTCACCCTAAAGAAACCTGTTGAACTTTGTGTTATTCAGCATTTCAAAAATTTATTTAACTACAAAATTCTTTGTGTATTTTTTTTTCCAGCATGGCATTGACAGTCTGGTGTCAGTGTTTTAAAGACATCTGTTGAAAATGCACTGAAATTAGGAATGATGTATTGGTATTGATTTGTACACTGATCTGTGGAGACAGTCCAACATGTGCAGGAGTGCTTCATATTTTCCTGATTCATGTCCAGTTAATCCTAATGAATTCCATACCCCACCACATTTAATCATTCCCATAATCCTTGATGTGTTTTTGAGCAGACCCATTGCAGTTATGGATCTGTCACTTCTGAGTAATTTGCATTTCTTTTTAGGTGGAGGAACTTTTATTGCTCTTTAGAAGTACCATATAATGAATGAGCTAAATTGTTGACCAAACACCATTTTCAGATATTAAGGAAATGATCCAACTGTGTTGGATGAAAAAAAGATGACTTGAATAAAGGGAGAGGTATGTGTCTGGATGGAATGGGTCATACAAGGAAGCCTTTTTGGAGTGGATCCACTCTCAATGTGCTGGCATTTCGTCCTACTGAGTCTGTGAAACTAACAGGCAGATTGTGAACTGGGATCAATTCGCTCCACTGAGTGACTGTGAGGGTCATCAGCAAGGTTGCCTTCCTTCTGTGGGAACCTAACACGCCCCACTCCTTCCTCTCAGACTGTAACACTGTTGTCCAATCACAGGTTATGTGAGCTTTTTCCCCCGAAAGATAGTTGATGCTCTCTTGCTGGTCTTGGCAGACTTTATTAGACACTGCACACGATCAGCTTGACAATGTGGAGCATGAGTTCATGGAGAGCCGTTAGAGGCAGAGTCCAGGTAAGAGGTGTCAAGGTTCTGGAAGGAAATAGGCACACGCTCAACTTTGAAACTTTGAAGAGACTGTTTCATAAAGGGGCTGTTTACAGAGGTGTGGCCCGATTTAAAGGACCCATGACTACCCCTAGGCCTGAAAGGCCTGCTGGAGCTGAGGAAGAAGGGCTGCCTGCAGAAGTTGTGGTCTTAGGGCGTCACAGCCATTGTCAGAATCCCACCAAAGCAGGGAAGGAGTAGAGAAGAAATACCTTGGCCTCTTTCTGTTCCCATCCTCCCACTTCCTCACAGAGCGTTGGCTGAACCCAACTACAAGAAAGGCAGAAGAGTTGGGTGCTGTAGGCTGTGGAGGTTGGCTGTCCAGAGTCCAGGACAGGGAATAGAAGGGCCAAGAATGGGTTTAGGGGACAAACAGAAGTAACCAGCACAAGAGAAAATAGTCCAAGTGATCAGCCCCTGAAATAGGCCTTGGTAGTTGGGGCTGTGAAGAAGGGACAGGTTCAGGTCTAGGCTATTTTTCTTGTGTTTTCCTGCCTCACAGACCTTTCTTCTCTCTCCCCACTGCCTCCTCCTCCATTTGGCTAAGTCTTACCCTACCTTCAAGGCTGAACTCAGGTCCTTCTATCTCCCTCAAATCTTTCCTGATGGCCCATTTCTTTGATCATGCTCTCATCTTAATCCCTGTGATAATACCTGTACTGACATTTAACACTTAGCCTTTTTATCTGCATTGTTCTCTATCTCATCAGATAGACGTCTTGATCCTCAAACTAAATAGAAAGCTTCAGGAAGGAATGAAGGATGAAGCTCTACTTATAGCAGCTGCTCAATAACCCCTAATGAAAGATGAGAAAGAATTCCATGAAGATTCTACTAACCTAAGTATTGGTATTTGATCTCACAGAGTAAATTCTTTTTGAGAAGGTAAGCCATGTTTTCCTTTGCAGCAATGGGATTGAGGTCTTTTTTGTCTTCTCAGAAGTGTAACCCTTCTTTTTCTTTGCTGAATTTAGAAGTACTATATGGTAATCATGAAACTTAAAACCATACAGAAGCATGTGAATTAAAAAGTGAAAGTCCTTCTCTCAACCCACATTTAGCCAACTGTTAAGAGTTTGGTGAATTCTCTTTCTGACTTTTTTCATGTGTGCGTGATAGTATAAAAATGAATTATAGCATCATCGTTATTTATATTGTTCTACAGTCGTTGCTTTTAGGTAACCATATATCATGAACATCAATGTTAATATCCATTTTTAAACTATCTCATAATATTCTACTGTTTGGTTGTATATTTATTTATCTACTCTTTATTGCTGAACGTTTAAGTCATTTCTCCTTTTTCCCTTATAAACAATAAGCAATGAACATCCTTCCACGCAAAATTGTATACACTGTCTGACTTTTTCCTTAGGTCAGTTTCATAGAATTGGAATTTTTAGATCAGTTTTCCTTACAGCAACTTTTTGCTCTATGGTAATTATCAGACATTAGCTATCTTTTTTTTTATGCTAACTTGATAAATTAAAAATGTTGTGTTGGGGGCACTTCTCCTTCTGGGACGAAAGAGTAGAAGTGTTTTACCTATTCTTCCTTCAAAGTATGACTAAGAATTCTGGACATTATATATAAAACAAACACAAAAAGACTCTGAAAGGTGGAGAGAAGTCAGACTAGTTAAGGACCTTGAGACTCAAGGAAGGACATGGTGAGCCCTTCCCTGGATATTCCTTTTTGCCTCAAATATCCCAAACTTGAGAGCAAAGAAGCAGCAACCCAGAAACACCAAGGGTACAGACTAAAAAGTTTTTTTAAGCCCCCCAAAAAGGCCACTCTCTTTAATCAAGTACCAAGAAAGGTGCAGCCCAGCAAGACAGAAAACATTTAGATAATAAATGCTCTATGTCAGGCGAATACCACAGTAAACACTGTGGCCTCTGCCCCATCCACACCAGCAAAGGGAACATAGATTTCACCTTCACTGAGCTGTAATAAGTACCTTAATGCTCACCCTTTGTTAGAGAGATGTCAAAAAAAAGTCTGATTATGGACCTAGGGCTTTCCTCACCCCCCAAGCAATAACAAGGACCCCACTACAGTGTCAGTGTCAGTGTCAGACAAATGTAAGGTCCATGTGAGACCACACGGAGAGCCCGTCCTCCCACCCTGCTGCAGCAATAACAAGGGGCTCCTCCTTCATCCTGCTGGGGTGGTCTCAGAGAAGCCTAGTGGAAAGTCAGAACTTTCACCACTACCTAGCATTAACAAAGCCACCCCTCACCGTGGTGTTGTGAAGGCCACATAGAGACCACTAATGAGGCACTCTTACTCCTCTGGGAGATATCCGTAGTGACCTACAGTGGAGCTAGAACCCCCTGCTCACCCAGCAGTAATGAAGGGCTCCCTCCCCTCATCCACTCATCTCAGATGTCAGCAGAAGCTGGGTAGGGAACCTGGACTTCTACCTCACCTGGCGGTAATGAGGCAGCACCCCCCACTTTCCCTCCTGGAGCCTTATCAGAAAAAGCATACAAAAATGGAAGATTTAAATAATATCCAGAGTCTTGTAACATAATACCCAGAATGTCCAGGTTTCAATCCAAAATCACTGATTATACCAAGAACAAGGAAGATATCAAACTAAATGAGAAAAAACAATCAACAGATGCCAATGCCAGGATGACAGAGATGGTAGGCTTATCTGACAAAGATTTTAAAACACATATCATAAAAATTTTCAGTGTTCAATTACAAACACATTGGAAGCAAATATTTTTCATAGAACCTCAATAAAGAAATAGAAGATATAAAGAAGAACCAAATGGAAATGTTAGAACTGAAAAATACAATAACTGAAATTAAAAACACCTTAGATGGACTCAGTAACAGAAGGAAAGTGACAGATGAAAGAATCAGTAAACTTGAAGATATAACAACAGAAATTACCCAATCTGAACAACTGAGAGAAAATAGACACAAAATAAATAAACAAACAGTTTTAGGGACATGTGGGACTATAATAAAAGATCTAACATTCATGTTATCCCAGAAGGAGAGGAGAAAGAGGGCTGAGCTGGAAAAGTACTTGAAGAAATAATGGCTGAAATTTCCCAAATTTGTCAAAAGGCATAAACAGACTCAAGAAGGCATTAATGTCAAGGATGATGAACTCCAAGAAATTCACGTCAAGACACATCATAGTCACACTTTTGAAAACTAAGGCCGAAGAAAAAATCTTGAAAGCAGCAAGAAAGAAATGAACCTGAGCTATAAAGAAAAACAATTCAAATAAGAGTATTTCTCATCAGACACTATGGAGGCCAAAAGGAAGAGGCATATTTTTCAAGTGCTTAAAGTAAAGAACTATCAACCCAGAGTACCACATCCAGTGAAAACATTCTTCAGGAATGAAGGGGAAATCAAGACATTCTAAGATGAAGGCATACATACCCTAAAAGAATGGCTAAAGAAAGTTCTCTAGACAGAAAAGAAACAGTAAAGGAATTATTATGGAAGAAATATCATGACTGAGCAAAAAATATGGGTAAATTAAACAAACTTTCCTTCTCTTGAGTTTTCTAAATTATATTTGATTGTTGAAGCAAAAATTATAATACTGTTGTGTTTCTAAATGTATGTAGAAGAAAACTTTAAGATCATTATAGGGGCTGGCCCCGTGGCCGAGTGGTTAAGTTCGCACGCTCCACTGCAGGAGGCCCAGTGTTTCGTTGGTTTGAATCCTGGGCGTGGACATGGCACTGCTCATCAAACCACGCTGAGGCAGCATCCCACATGCCACAACTAGAAGGACCCACCATGAAGAATATACAACTATGTACCGGAGGGCTTTGGGGAGAAAAAGGAAAAAAATAAAATCTTTAAAAAAATAAAAAAATAAAATAAAATAAAAAGATCATTATATTGTAAATGGGGGAAGGTAAAGTGACGTAAGGTTTCTATACTTCACTGGTAAAATATGACACCAGTAGATTGTGATAAGCCATATATATAATATTTGGAGTAACCACTTAAAAAGCTATGAAAAGAAATACATGCAGAAACATTACAGATTAATCAAAATTGAATTCCAAAATAGTTTCAACCCACAAAAAGGTAGGGAAAAGAAAACAAAGAAGTGAAAAACATAGAAAAGAAACAAAATAAAATGATTGACTTAAGCCCTAACATATCAATAATTGCAATAAATATAAATGTTTAAATAATATAGTTAAAAGACAGAGATTCACACACACACACACACACACACACACACACACACACACACTCACACAGAGAATTATCTGGTCAAAAATGTCAATAGTGCTGAGATTAAGAAACCCTGAACTACAGTCTAGTTAAACTCTAGACTCTAGACTTTCAACAAATTCATGTTTTCTACTGCATACCACACCACTGCTTTCCAAGGTACCTTGTGCTGACAGCTACGAGAATTTCTGAAGTTCTGCAGCTCCCCTACTGGCATGACCAAGCAGTTAGTAGAGGTAAGAAAGCTGAAATCTAAGTTAGTTAAAACCCATTCAACCCTTTCCATCTTCCAGAATTTTGTTGCGAGCTTTTATCTGTTATTTTCTCTCCCTTTGTCTTTGAGAATTTATTTCTTTACTCGCATTTTAGTGGAGGTCACAAGGAGAAAGAGAAATAAATACATGTGCCCAGCCTCCATGTTTTATCACAATTCCCCACACTTTTTCTTGCAAATGAAGTTAAAATCAATTTATTAAATTCTAAAAATAAAAATCATATTTTGATTAGCATCTCAGTAACCTTTGTAATTTTGGAGTGGTGAAACTTTTCTAACAAAGATTCAAAGTCCAGAAGCTATAAAAGAAAAGATTGATGAGCTTGCCTACCTAAAAATAAACACTCATGAATGGCACACACAGACACGGAACACTGTATAAAGATTGTATTAAAAATTTTTTTAAAAAAAGAGGGGACTATGTAAAAATTTTAAACTTCTGTGGGGCAACTTTCTGGAAGGCAATTTGGCAATATCTACCAAAATTTAAAATGTACCTCTTGATCCAACAAGCCATGTCTACAAACTTATCTTTGAACCAAAGCATTTACAGTTCACCAAACTGTATATATAAAAAGAGCTTCCATTATAGAAATGTTCATAATAGCAAAAATGTGGAAATAACCCAAGTGCCCATCCATAGGTAAAGAATGCAATAAATCATGACATATCTACATGTTAGTATGATGGTCAACCTCTAGAAAGAATGAGATCACTCTGTGCTGACAGAGAATAGATCTTCGAAATATATTTGGAGGGGAAACGATATAGGAGTAGGGGAAAGAAGATACATATATATGATCCATTATGGATACATTTTAATTAAATATCTCACTCTCTACATATGTACACATTGTACGAGCATATATTTTCCATATATATATGTATAATGCTTAAAATGTTTTCTGATTTTATATTATTTACACATTATACCAGCACATATTTCCATATATGTATATAGATATATATACTGCTTAAATTGTTTTCTGTTTCTGAAACACCAAAACTCTCTTTGCCTTGGATCTGGCACTTAGGCAGGTAGGGGAAGGGACCATCAGTAGGAAACAATATCTTCATTTTTTAACCTTCCTCTACCATTTGACTTTTATAACCTTGTACTGTCTCTTTTTAATCTTACCATGGCTTACTTGAGCTGTGAAATAATTAGCTTTTATTTTCTCTTTGTCACATTCTTCTGCTTTTTAAAAACTAATAAACATTAATATTAGGAGAAAATCATTCACCATCCACATAGCTAACTTTCTTCCTTATTCTGTTCATTCTAGGTTTCCAAGGTAACCAGTCGTAGCTTCTCTCCTAGCTATATCATTGATATGACTTTTGATTACCTAATTAGTTTACTTCAATGAAATTGTTTGTTGTGGTAGCTCAAGATGCCAGATCAACTGTCTAGACCCAGAGGAATTTGGTGCCTGGTCATTATTAGAGTTTATGGCTCTCACTGGATTGTGCCATATTTTGGGTCCTTAGCATATTACATCTGAAAGTAAAATAATGAGGAGATATTCTGATTGAATTTCATGTTTTATGAAGCTAGCAAATACATTTTCAATAACTACCCATATTGATCTATTGAGTGCTCCCAAGACTGTACTTGTAAATTGTTTCTCTTCTCCTTACCTCCTTAGAAACTTACATATCCAGAAATGATTGAGATTGAGCAGGCAGAGGCCCAGCTCTCTGAGTTAGACCTGCTGGCCAGTATGTTCCCCGGTGAGAATGAGCTTGTCGTGAATGACCAGCTGGCTTTAGCAGAACTGAAAGACTGTATTGAAAAGAGGACAATGGAGGGACGATCTTCAAAAGTTTACTTCACTATCAATATGAACCTGGAAGTATCTGAGGAAGCAATGGTAATTCAGTTTTGCTTTTGGAAGAATTAAAATATGTCAAGACTTAAAACAGCACTTAGGGCTTTGTTCTTTTTTTTTCAGGTGACGTTTTCTCTGGCCTGTATTCTTCCCTTTAAATACCCTGCAGTTGTGCCTGAAATTACTGTCCGGTATGTCACAGAAACTGCCAACTTTAGAGGTCAAAACTAATGTGAGAGTAAAAGCAATTCTCAAGTTTGTTTTCTGTTCTAAGAAAACTGATTTGGCTTTTTTATCCCACATCTTTTCCATCAGATCAGTATCATTAAGTAGATCCCAGCAGACTCAGCTGAACTCAGATCTGACTGCTTACTTGCAACAGAATTTTCTCGGAGATGTCTGTATATTGAATGCCACAGACTGGGTTAAAGAGCACGCCTCTGGCTACATCAGCAGAGACACCACAGCTTCCCTGGCTCCAGAAAGTACAGTTCAGCCAGTTGATCTCACTCTCACGAGACTCTGGATCTATAGCCATCACATCTACAACAAATGCAAAAGAAAGAATATTCTAGAGTGGGCAAGGGAGCTTGCCCTATCTGGGTTTAGCATGCCCGGGAAACCTGGTGTTGTTTGTGTGGAAGGCCCACAAAGTGCCTGTGAAGAATTCTGGTCAAGGTTTGCTTTCACAAATTTTGTATGCTGTGTCAATAATTTTAGTACTAAACAAGATACTAGAGATGTAGAAATTAGTACGTCCCTGGGGTGTATCTTATGGGGATTCAGTCTCAAGTCAGTGGATAAAACAGAACTCATGTATGTCAGTATCACTCCCCTCACCTGACACAGTGCTCATACGAGATATTCTGTAAATAGATGTTAAATCCAGCTCCTGCTCAGGATGCTGTCTACCATCCCCTCCATTTCCATGGATCTTATTCTTCTTTCATCTTAGTGATGCTGTAAGCTGTGTGAAACAAGGGGATTTCTCATCGTTCCATTTCTCTACTGATATCCTAAATGAGTTTCTGAAAAGTCCCTTCAGGAGTTTGAGGTTCAGCAATTTCCACATTTCTAAAATGCTAATACGAGGATGTAATAATGGCAATAAATGAGATTGGGGATGGAATTAAGACCAGAATCATGTCTGATTAAAATCAATCCTTGTGAGATAACAGTAGATTTCTTTGCTTCTAGGAAATGGCATTGGTAAATCCATTTTATAACTTCTATTTTCAGTACTCTAGGATACACAACACATTTTTCAAAATTTCTATTTGAAAATTTCTTTTCAGACTCAGAAAATTAAATTGGAAGAGAATTTTAATTCGCCACCGAGAAGATATTCCTTTTGATGGTTCAAATGAGGAACTGGAAAGACAAAGGAAATTTTCAATTTTTGAAGAAAAAGTGTTCAGTGTTAGTGGAGCCAGAGGAAACCACATGGACTTTGGTCAGCTTTATCAGTTTTTAAATGCCAAAGGATGCGGGGATGTTTTCCAGATGTTCTTTGGTGTGGAAGGACAATGACTGAGCAGAGGAGTAGTTGTTGAAAATATTTGTCATTGTTGGCCTTTGGTTTTTTTCCCCACTCTTGAAAGATTAAGTAATTGCACGTTAGTCTCATTCTAGAATGTAGGGGGAAAAACGAGAAAGTAGTATAGCTGAAATGCATCTACTAAATATGTCGTGATTGAAAGCAGAAGTGAGTCTTTTTTTTTTTTTAAAGATTGGCACCTGGGCTAACAACTGTTGCCAATCTTTTTTTTTTTTCTGCTTTATTTCCCCAACTCCCCCCCTGTACACAGTTGTATATCTTAGTTGCAGGTCCTTCTAGTTGTGGGATGTGGGACGCCGCCTCAACGTGGCCTGATGAGCGGTGCCATGTCTGCGCCCAGGATCCGAACCCTGGGCCGCCACAGCGGAGCGCACGAACTTAACCACTCGGCCACGGAGCCGGCCCCCAGAACTGAGTCTTAAATTATAATCTTAAAATTGTTGATAGAAATTTGTTGACATATAAACTACCCATTTTTAAAGAGAAAATTATATTTGAGGAAGATAATGTTGGTTGTCCAACTTGCAACCCCTTGCAACTCCACTAAAGAATCTGGAAAAGCTAAATACCTACTCTCCTAACTTCTCTCGTAGCTAGGGGTAGCCTCGGGACACAGCTCTAGCTAGGGGACTTCAGGAACACTTTTGCTTTCCGAATTTAAATGATAGCTGCAACTGTGGCCCCTCTTCTCTCTCTTTCTGCCACAAACACCATAGTGATGGCTGGAGCCGCAGTATCCTTTCAACCATGAGGGAGGAAAGGACCAAGAGAACCACAGAGGGGTCAGTCCCCAAATTGTTGCACTGTTGATAGACATCAGCCACTACCTGTCTCTAGACTGCTAATTATTAACTAATATTAGTTTTATTGAGATTTCTGTGCCTGTTACTAGCAGTTGAAAGCTTGTTTGCCAAATAGATTTTTTTCAAAGCTTTAGTTTTGCATCTGCACTACCTATTTGATACAAAAATAGGTGAAGTTTTTCCTAAACAGAGTTTGCAGTTAATCTCTATTTTTGTGTTCTTACACTCTGCCCCTGTTCCTGGGCTCACCTCACAGAAGGCTGAGGCATGAGCAGTTCTCAAACTTTGTGACAGGCCTTAACAATTCATCATATTGGTAATTTAGAGAATTCATTTATGGCAAATTGGATTTTACAAATTTTTCATCCTGGAAATAGCTTTCTGTACATTGATTTTCAGCAAATTGACCTAGAGTCAAATAAAGACAGTACTTGGTTTTTGAGCCCCTCCATAAATCAGTTCCAGAAGTGCTTATTAAATATTTACTAATTCCTAGCACTCAGGTTGGTACCATGGGTTGGGTATTCCTTGAAGAGTCAGACTTGGTTAGAGCTATGGGGTTGCAGGAATGCACAAAGCCTTGTTTATCTTAGGAAAAAGTTGGAGGCAACACGTGTACCCATCACTCAGTGAATCCGTAAGTACAGTATGGTGCATATTATGCAGTACTGTGCTGAAGTCAGAAGGAATAAAGTAGAACTAACAAGGCAATGTGGATAGATCTTAACTATACAGGTGGTTAAACACAAATAAGAATCAGATGGCATTTATAGCACGGCGCCTATGTTGGATGTAAGCCTTACGTACCTCAGATTCCCTCCCTGCTGCCCCCCCCCCCCCCCGGATGGCCCAGTCAGTTGCCCTGGAAATGCCAGTCCTTCCTGAGCTGCCACCACACAGCCAGGTGGCCCAGCTATTCATCTAGAGCTTCTCACTCCTCCAGGCACTTTCAGATTTGGATGAAATACCCTACAGAGCAAGGGATCTGCCATCCGTAGAGGCCATGAAAGAGGCCACATGATGTACTTTTAGCTGGATTAAACTGCTAAAACTTTTCAGTCTTTGTACATTATTTTAATTAAAAAAAACCCAGGTCGCTGTGTACAAATATACAGATTTCAAGTATAACATAAAAACATAGAAGGCAATAAAGTAGCTTTATAAGTTTTCTTCCCTGAGACACACCTGTCAAATTTAAACATTGGATTATTAAGACAGAGTGAGGGGCTGGCCCCGTGGCCGAGTGGTTAGGTTCGCGCGCTCTGCTGCAGGCGGCCCAGTGTTTCGTTGGTTCGAATCCTGGGTGCAGACATGGCACTGCTCATCAAGCCACGCTGGGGCAGCATCCCACATGCCACAACTAGAAGGACCCACGACAAAGAATATACAACTGTGTACTGGGGAGCTTTGGGGAGAAAAAGGAATAAAATAAAATCTTAAAAAAAAAAAAAGAAGAGTGAGCAAGAGAAGTACAGCTTTTCCAACCTCAGGATTACTAAACTCCCTTAAAAATGGATGGAAGTATTAGACATCAAAAGAGCAAACAGCAAGTTAGAACGTCCTGCCAACATTGTATAATGTAAGAGACACAATAAAAGCTCTAAGGACTTTAGTTAAATGTTAGGCAAATAGGCAATATAGCTGTGTTAGATTTTTACCAATGATTATATACTTGATATACAAACATCCTTCAGTGTAAGATTGTTCAGTATGATTGCATGTATATTTATTCCACAATGACAATATGTCAATATGTTAATCTGATATACCTCTTGAACTGGAATCATCTATAAAGAAATAGTGATAAATCCTGAAATTATGTTTAAAAGTTAAAAGGTCTATAGAAAACAAAAGTGTGGGCCGGAAACATTGGCTACATATCCATTTTTATTTGTAAAAGTAATTCTTATACAAACAGTGGTATTAAGTCAAGTAAAACTAAACAAATTTTTTTTTTTTGAGGAAGATTAGCCCTGAGCTAACTACTGCCAATCCTCCTCTTTTTTGCTGAGGAAGACTGGCCCTGAACTAACATCCATGCCCATCTTCCTCTTCTATGTGGGATGCCTACCACAGCATGGCTTTTTGCTAAGCAGTGCCACGTCTGCACCCAGGATCCAAACTGGCGAACCCCGGGCCACGGAGAAGCGGGAAGTGCGAACTTAACTGCTCTGCCACCGGGCCAGCCCCCTCAACAAATTTTTTTAAAATTCTAAAATTAATCCCACCAATTCAAATTTGTTGAACTTGGAGTAACAAAGTCAAAGTCAGTCTTGTCATCTGCACTTTAATAGCATAAACTGCATCTGCTGCCATACAGAACTGCTTACTTTCAACACTTACATAAAAACAGCTGAAATACAGTTGTGTTTGTTAGGTTTGTTGTTGTTGTTGTTTAGAAAGCTGTATCAGGATATCAGGGAAACTCAACAGAATATGTCATTCGTGAAATTCCAGAAAAGCTGGAAGGCAGCCAAGACTTAGGGCATTTAAAGGACAGGTGGTTACTTCCTGTCCCCTGCCCCCGGCAACAATGATTACAACTACTTAGGACAAACTGAATTTATGAAAATTCTGCAAAGGGGCACAAGGAGCCTTCCACTTAAGCACAATCTGGCAGTTTGATCCCACCGGGTCACGGGGGGGATGTAGGCCTGAATGTCCTTTGCCATCCCCACCAACTGTCCAAGGCGGAACCCCGCCAGGAGCAGGGCCGGGCGGCCGAGGGAGGATTCCAGTTCAGCGTGAAAGCCGGGTGCTTGGCTACCTACCGCACCCGGGTCCCGAGCGGCTCCCGAGAGCTCTGGGGCTGAGGGAAACCCTGGCCTTCTACAACCCGGCATCTCCGAGCACCCGACCGCCCCACACGCGACCCAGGAGCACAGCGGGGAGGAGCCTGCAGCGCTTCACGCATGCGCCCCTCCTGTGCCGGCCTGTCCGGGAAGCCCCAGCCCGAGGGGGTGGGGTCTGGGGGCGAGGCGAGCGAGGGGACAGCGGGTCAGGTCGCCTAGCCGCAGCGGGTAGCGCTGCATTGGACTGTGGGGGAAGGGTCTGACTCCAGGCTTCAGTGCTACACTACAGACTTGCACTTCAAGTGGGGACCTAGCAGGCCTGCCAGGTGCTGCTCTCATGCTCAGATGGGCTTTAAAAAAAAATTATATATATATATATATAAATATATATACATATTTTTAAATTTGTAAATTTTATAAATATATAAATTTATGCATATATAATTTTATACATATATATAAATTTTATACATATATACACAAATATATATATTTGCAGGGAAATATTCGACTCTGAGCTAACATCTGTTGCCAGTCTTCCTCCTTTTGTTTTCCTTCCCAAAGCTCCCAGTATATGCTTGCGCATCCTAGTTGTAAGTGGGCTTTTTTTGTTTTTTTTTTTTAAGGCTTATTGTCTTTTGGATAATAAGACATTGATCCACATTCTCTTGGGCTTTGCCTGATGTTGCTACAGCCGGGAGAATTGGAGGAATTATGCTACCTGGGACCCAGGTGGCGCCTTCGAGGTGAGGGTGTCCCTCGATTTGAATAGGGAATTACTGAAATGGAGGCTTAATTTGTTTTCCCCCGGAGGCGTTTGGCATTTCGGATTTTGTAAATCGGTTCTCTCCTGCCTGCCCCCCCCAAATATATGTAAATAAATATGTGTGTAATACGTTTTTATTACAAAAGATGACCATTATAGAAAACGTAGAAGTAACTGGATGTAAAGCTCACCCATTATCTTGCACCCAAGAAGACAATATTAAATTTTGATTTTACGTTTTATTTTCTAGTGTATTATTTTTACCTGTATGTATATGTGGTCATTTTTAAACAAATCATACTGTACATGCTGCTTTGTATCTGCCTTCTCTTATTAAAACAATAGATTGTAAACGTTTCATGCCATTAAATATTTTCCCACAACATTATCAAAGATTGCATTGTATTCAGTTGTCTAAGCATACGGTAATTGCTTTCAGCAATTCATTGTTTTGGTCACAAGGTCATAACGTTTTTCGGTCTTGTTTTGTTTTTCATCAACAAAGCTACTGTGAGCATGTGTTATTATCTCTTCAGGTTAGATTTCTAGAAGTGGACATTCGTTCTTAAGCCCTGGACTGGTCTTGCCAAATTGCACTGGTGAAAGGTTGAGAAATGAAAATTGCAATGCTTCTAAAATTTCCTTTTTCCTAGATTTTTACCAACACTGATTACCATTTTGCCAATTTAAGAGATGAAAAATCTACATTGTTTTTGTTATCCTCATTGGACTTTTAGTGTGGGCCAATATTTTTTATATGTGTACTGGTCAATTATATTTCTTTTGCAGTAAATTGCCCGTTTATGCCTCACTTATTTATACGTATATAGGCAGGCTCGAAATATTTTTTTGTAAGAAT